GACATATCCCTTCCGTTTCCAAATCCGTCCATCCATTCATAACTTTCCTCTGATACAAACAACTGTCTCCATATTAAACCTTCATTTACACTATGATTTCAGACAGTTTAACGCACTTTGCTCACTGATTTGATTTGATTTGATTCAAGAACCGACGTCACAGCACTCGGGGCATTGCCAGAAGCGCTCCGTCCCCATCTTCAACAGCCAGCAAAGAGTTCCGATACTAATGGGGCCAGTAGCATTCTGATTAAACGTCCGTATTGCCTGTCCTTCTAGCTTCGAGTATTTGCCAGAACCTCTCGTCACTCCCAGCTGTATCAATTTCACCAGACTGTGGTGATCAATCTGCTTCTCTGAACTGTACACGCTCTCCCACAAGGCACTAACCACGTCTGCCTTATCGTGCATTCCACCAAGCTGTGCAGAGCCAACCAGTCTGTCCGCCTGTTCATTTCCCAACACACCGGCATAAACTGGTGAAAAAATCCAGACAATACTCCTCACCCGTGTCCTCCGCAGCGAGGCATGCCATTCTGCACGAAGCATGCCTGTCCTGACCTTCCTTAGCATGCTTTCTGAGTCAGTTACAATCACGATGTGTGTGTGTGTGTCGTGTTCTCTGACCAGCGGAAAGCTGCAGTGACCGCCTCCACCTCCATTCCTAAGCTGGATGTTGTGGTATCATATGCTAGGCTCTCCTGCACCAAACGTCGACCATTAACTTTTGCTAAGAAGCCCCAAGCACTTCTTTTGCCTCTTGATACTGAACCGTCTGTGTAAATGATCAAATCTTCTAAGCGAGCATTATCTTGAATTAATTGCTGAATTTCCACCTCTGTGGCACCTGCTGGCCAGTCTCCGCATTCCCGGCTCAGTAAAAACGAATAACACTTTTTTGCTCTTCCACGGTGTATGTTAAAAGTGCTACGACCATCTTGTACGAGCTGTTGCACATGTGTATACTGCTAAATCGCCAAGACACGTACTTTAGGTATTGCAAAAGGATCATTCTGTGTCCTGAAGAAATTGTTTTCTTCTACCTACTGTTTCATACAGACTGTAATACTATTGCCTTTACTAAATGATTGTTCCTCGTATACCTACAAACTAAAACGATCCCACGTAATAATCCTGATTAATAAAAAATCAGTATAACAATTTGTACCAAACGTTATCTTCTTTTTTTTCCCGCATCAATGGGACAACAGTGACACCCCTCAACATTTTCGATTTGTATTAAAAAACCACATTCTAGCTCTGTTTGCATTTGTAATGTCATTTATGATAAAACAGTTCACTGCCATTGACAACAACAGCGTAGTAATTTCCGTAGAATTTGCTTATGTGTATTAATTCGAGACAGGAATATTTCCGTTACACAAGGAAGTCAAGAACCACTTGACAGCGTGGATTACCTTTATGGTGTGCAACCTCCAGATCTCTGTTATAGACAGCTTTGATACCGGCATCTGTGGAGAAAGATAGATACATCTCACAGCGTAATCTCGGTTGGTAGAGATGTAGATGTGGTTTTCTTGTGTGTGCAAAAGTGACATTTACTGTCTCTCCTCTTAAAATTTTATTCGTAGGCAGGAGATTTACGTAGAATACATAACCGATGTTCCGATGTTTATTCCTGTCTGTGTGTGAGAATGAACGCTTGCGTGTATGTATTGTTTGTACTTCTATGTACATATCTAAGCATCTCATTACATACTTCTATAATTATTATGGGGAGGCGGCAGAGCTCTATGGCTTTTGCGCTCAGTTTCAGGAGCCCATGACTGTCACTAATGTGGATTGAACTATAGACCTCTTTCTTGATTAGCAAGCGTACAAGCCACTGTGCCAGCAATTCTCTACCATGTCTAAGAAGGACAATACAGTTACGAATCCGTTAACATTAATCAGCTGCATTTTTTCTCCAGGAATCACAACCACCCACATCATTTAATGACGATTGTATGGTTTCACTGGACAAGTTCACTTTTAAGTCTATCATTTTTTTTTTTTTTTTTTTTTGAACAGTACAAACTGCATACCGTTTCAAAATCAACACAAAGCGAATCCGCTTCACATCTGTCTGAAGCTTTTAAATCCACCTCTGTGATAATATTCCATGTTTTCGAGCAGGCAGATAGACTGGCCGGTTCAGCACCACTTGTATGACAAGCTAGATATTATGAGAACCCTTTGGGAGCGAGTGAACAGTGCGGAGACGCAAATGGATCATTACAGTCTGGGGAGACTGGCGGTGCCGGGAGCTACCAGGGGATCTGGTCGACGCTAAACACTCAAGGGAAAGGCGAGACGGATGTACAGAGCTAAACTCTAGGCTTGCTGTTAAAGATAGGGACGGATTGCTTATGGGAGCGTCCCGGGTGCTATGATGTCGATTTCTAATTCAACATTCTTTGTTTCCTAATGTTTTACACATCCCTATGTGTTATGTCATCACAACACAGTTTAATCTACGCCAAACGACACACTGAGCACTCCCTCCTCCACTAGTTTGAGCAGTTTCCTCTGAGAATTGCTTCATTCCAGCAGAATGTGGCACTAATCAGGACATTTTCAACTCTTCATTTTAGGAGGGACCTATTGTTGGAGTATTGACATTGTTCACGTCCCACTAATTGCTCATCAGAAGTGTCATTCTCTTCAGTACAACTGTGCCAGGGACATATTGAAACCTGACTGCTAGTTCGGCGGTGTAAACTCTGGTTTAAGACCCGCCATCAATTGCCCTCATTCATATTCGTGTGATTTTGTGCTTTCAATTGAATTCATTTTATTTTGTAAACGAAGCAAAAGAATAAAATAAACAATAATACATAAATATATAAAGTTTGAGGAATTTACTTCTAGTTTCTAGACTGTGTAACATTTGCAGGTCTTAAACCTAGTGCACGCAAAAAAGTTGTATAGAGAGCATTTTGTAGACAAAAACACATATAAAACCACACGGAGACCAGAGAATGAGAAGGGAAAAGGGTACAGCAGAAGAATAAGAAGAATTACGAGGAAGAACAGGAAAAGGAATGGAGTGGGGAGACGGAAGACGACAACCACAACAGGGAAGAAGGAATAATAATAATAATAATAATAATAACAACAATAATAATAATAAGAAGAAGAAGAAAAAGAAGAAGAAGAAGATTATAATTGGGAGGATTAGGACGCTGTAGACTGGCAGTCATGATGAATGTGACAAGGAAAAGGATGATAGATGACACGAAGAATATTAGTTAGCTTGCCAGTTTCTGTTTTTTTTTTTTTTTTCAAATATTCTCTGGATATTCAGTAAAACATCGTTAACGTGAATTCCAGGAGACATGAAAATGAAGAATTCTTGTTAAAAATTTCACGTTTAAATTTCACAAATTATAATTTTTTTAAACGACAGTTCGTCTTAGGGGAGTTCGTGTAAATCAGGTTTTATCGTTTTAATGCAGACACAAAAAACCATGCAAAATAAAATGTTTTCAAAATATGCAAGAGATCTTAACATACTGAAGACAGCTGCGTATGGTTTTGCGGTCTTGTCGTGAAAATAAAAACACCAAAATAATTTATTTCAACAACAGGCAAAAGTAATAAGGAAAAAAGAAAAGCATGTGAATGTCAGATTACTATTTTGCTGTAATCGGAATTATGATTTATTTGAAACTTATACAATAGAAATGAGACTGCTTATGGCAAATGGTTATTTCAGGTAATATAAACGAAACCCATAGAAGTTTCTGTTTTTGTGCTTTGATAGCCATGTGACCAAAACTCTTTAGAGCAGCGGTTTCCAATCTGGGAGACTTGCCCCCGGGGAGGCAAAGGGGCGGGGGTGGGAGGTCAAAGAGTTCTGAAAGTGACTGCATTTTACTTGTAATAATGCGTCATTTTAGCTCTAACAGTCATGAAAACATAACAGCACAGCCAGGTTGATGTTGAGAGTGATATCCGTTGTGCCTTGTACAACATTAACCCCCCCCAAAAAATAGCATCTATCATCAAGACAAAACAGTGTCAACATTGATATCTGGACACTAAATTACCGGTTGTTTGGTGATTGTTTCTTTTATTGTTTGACAGTTTGATTGATGTGGATTTATTTATCCAAGATCTTGTTAACAGTACTTGGGACTTTTCTTTTAGTCCTCCTCTTTTTAGTCACATTTTGCTGTGGAGGGGGGGGGGAAGAGGAGGGGGTAGTCTTACATGTACTCAAGAGGGCGCCACCTGGAAAAAAAATGACTGGAGACCACTGCTTTAGAGAACGACATTCTTCAACTTTTCCCCAGAATTTGTTCTGCTTCAAGCGTTAGGCTTTTGAAGAGTCATCTGATGCGGATCTTGCTGTATGCTACCTATGTAGAGACTGGTATTCACAGCCCCGGATAATCCATCGACACATCTCTTGCGACGGCAATCTCCAGCATTGCTTCCATTGTATCCAAGTGTTAAGATTCTCTCTGGTGCAATATCTTCTGGTGGCCTCGACACACTTCTAAATTATTTGATCTGTTATCTCTCAGTGTTAGTTTAGCACCCACTTTGTTTCTTGGTATTATCATTTATGATACTTTCTCTTCTTGTCACATTTAGGATTTGTTGTAGGCATATCATTTCTGTTGGTAGAAAGGCATATTTGGAAGACATATGTATGCTTAAACAAGTCTAAACAAGTAATCGACGAAGAATCGTATCACCGAATCACTTACGTTTAATACACAGTCCGTGAAACTCTACCGAGTTGAAGAAACTGCACATGGCTACAATCGTCATCGGCTTGAAGACACACAAGTTTCTATAGTGAGACCAACCACTTGGACATAAGCTTTCGTCTGTGTCCACGTTGTTGCCCAGTACATCAGTGTCGATGACCGACGACAAAGGATAGTCTTGTAGCCCAGTTTCTCGATCTGAAGGCAGTGCCATTTCCGTGTCTGAGTAGGTAGCAGAACTTAGATCAACGCCAGACTGTGCTTCTTGGCTGTTACGCTCTGAAATAAAACAACTGTAGTTAAATCACTTCCAAGTTAACAACTAAAAGTAAAGTAAAGGACCCTTTCAACGCCTTCAGACGTTGTGTGCATACAAAGCTAGGCTTGTATTTTACAGACCAATCGGCACTTTAGTGGGTGGTGTGGTCAACATCCCACCGACCACATTTACTTCACAGGATATTACCTGGTACTCAGTTAAGGCTGGGTCGACAAGAGAGCAAGATCATTTTTGATTTCATTTTTCTTCAACGACGGCTCCGTTCAGATTTGAACAGAAACTGATATTTGAATCATAACAAAGATGAGGTGACTTAGAAAAGCTACTCGTTAGTAAGAAGTTATAACATTAAAAACAAGAAATTACTAGGATTAAAACCACTCATACTTTTAACTAAAGAACAACAGATTAACTAGTCTGGCCACCTGAAAAGAAAACCTTGGTAGAAACTACCACATTGAGTCACACTTAAGAGATTTAATGTGCACAGAATAAGGGGAAGAGTTCGCAAAATAAAAACGACATCACCAAGAACAATCTTCAAGGAATTAATATCAGCATCCAAAGAACAACAGAAAGAGCATGGAAACATAAAAATACAAAAACCGACCCCCCCCCCCCCCCCCCCCCCCCCCCCTACTCCCTTTTTTTTTCAAAACATTATTTTACTAGGGTAGTTAGAGGGGAAAAAAAAGAAGACGACGAACAAGATTCTGGCACCAATGCCTAACAGCCCATAGGCGTCATAACTGTGCAAAAGTGCTAGTCAGAAATAGTACCTGTTATCTTCCCGCTATACTATGTGGCATATACCAAACCTGACATCCGATGTGTGGCAACGGCTTCTTGCGGAGACGCTTATTTCATCTCATCTTGATCCTCTTCTACCTTGAGGTATCGAGGTGAAGTATAATTTACGGGGAAAAGTCCAGTTTTTGAGCTAAGTAAATCCGGATTTTACAGAACTGTGTTATTCCCTTTGTCCATCGCTTGCATGGTCGGCCTCTTCTTCGCTTAATGCCTGAGTTGTACATCATTGCTTGCTGTGGTAAACTGTGTGCTGACACCCGCGTTACATGGCCAAACCACTTCACCTGTTGTTGTTGTTTTTTAAATGAAATCCAGAACTGCTGCTACCCACCATTTCATCTTTTCTGATCTGACCTCTTCGTGTTACATAGAGAGCCCTTAGCAAAAGGAGCGTTGGTGGTGAATGCCAACCTTATCCTAAGCTGAGCAAAAACAACCGAAAAATGTAACGTTATGGCAAATGCTGGGTAGGCCCTTAGCTTCTGCTGACAGCTGGTTTAGGATGGAAAATCCGAGAGGTCGACAGACAGAGCACTGATCATCTGATCCAGCATCGTCTGTAGCATGTTTTGATCTTGTTGGCTCTATCTGTCATTTGGAGACCCAGAGCAGCAGAACGAGCAAGGGGACCACGCTGCGCCAACAATACATCGTCTTTACAACACTGCCCAGGAATTATGCTATGGACAGGAAGAACTTCATTTCTTGCATGCATTTGTATCATCACGGTCTGTGATTCTCAAGCCTCCCTGTTGCTCAGTAGAACGCTATCGTCAGGAAAGACGGAGATGTGTTAACAACATAATTATGTGGATTCCAACTATACGACTATTTCGGCTGGCAATCGCAGTATCTAACATGCCACTGCTGCTTGGCCGATCATATATTACTGAAACGTAGGGTTGCCAGAATCTTAAAAAAAAATGGAGTGACGACTCTTTGTTGGTTTATAACGACATGTTTTCACTATAAAATATAATTAATGAACCTATTAAACTTATTCCGTAGGAACCACATTTGGGCGAAAAACCCAAAAGGCAACAGAACGGAGACATCCGGGGAATACATAGTATCTGGCAACAATATAGTAACGTGATAAATAAGAGCATAATAGCAACTTTCCCCTTCTGACACAATCTTGTTTCTAATTTAGGTTGGAAAACTGAAATGTTTGTTCAGAGTTTGTCTTTGATGGACTTTGACTCAAGTGGGGGGAAATGTCTCACAAAGAGTCGTTTAAACGAGACGAGCAAACACTTCTGGAAAATTTCATTCCAACTGACAACATGGCCTGCACGATCTGAAATGCAAAAGAAAGTCATCTGCGGAAAAACAGATTCTTTCATCAGTCCGAGAAGGTCATATCTGATGCGTGAAACAACATTAATGACAACCAGGAACGTCGGAACCTTGGGGACCCACCAACCATCCCAACCAGCCTAAAACATGACAGTGGTGACAGGGAGCTGGTATTCCCTAAAAAAACATGACAGTGGGTGGGGTAAGGGGATGCAGGGAGGAGTGAGATTTCTTAAAAAACATGACTGAACAATGTACCGACGTTTTCTTTTATTAAGTATATGTTTGTACATTTCATATTATTTTAAATATTTTATTATATCTATTTGCCATTCAGCATATTATTATAATAATCACAATCATCATTATCATCCTCACGACGTATTTAAAAAGCTTATGTAATATTCAATCAATCATAGTGCCAGCGGCAAGGAAACATTTGGGCTTAGGCACCTTGACCCGCCCTCCCTCACTCACATGAAATGTTTCAAGCTCCCTATAGATTAGTAAAGAACCCCCAACCCCACCACCTTTTCCCCCTCCCTCAACTCCACAAGGCTGCTACCTCAACATAAATCACCCCTAATTACTTCAACTTAGAAAAGTCAGTTTTGAGTAGAAGTTACTTTTAAAAAAAAGTTAGTTGCGCATCCTTTACAGGATGTTGCAGAACCAACCTCAGCATTGAATAGGGCTGTTGCGATATTTCTAGGAAAATGTTACGTTTGGAAGTTTGCCATAGCTTCATAAACGGCCAGCTCTCGATATCACTGTCGAAAGCAACGCAAGGCGATCTGCTTCCAAATCGCCTGCAGCTGGGATCGAACCTGGGACCCCGGCATTACTATCGTATTCGCAACGCCTAAGCCAGTGATACAGACGTAGAAGTCACCTGAAACGCTAAAACCTCTTATATCCCACACTCAAAGTGACAACTAGTTCACACTTGTATGTGAGCAGTGTTAGACAACAGAGAACCTCATTCTACAGGAATACGATTTACATACACCTCTCAGGGAACAGTTCTGACCCTGTGCTACCTTCACCCAGACAAAAGCTGGGCGGACATCCTTAAGCCATATGGAACAAAAGCCTAATTCTTATGGGGAAACTGAAATCAGTGTCCGAAACAGAAAGTCAGAAGAATATCGGATATGTTTGTGATTTGAAATGAGCATTTCGGTTCAGAGTGTAAGAATGGGTTTTAGCTATTAGAGATTATTATTATTATATTATAATTAGAGATTACTTCTACTGATGATTGGTAGACCACTGCTGTACATGCTCCCCTGTGGAGTTTATTCTTATTACCATGCAGTAGTTTGCATTATATGACCTGGTTGGGAAGAACTGTGTTTGTAGAAAACATTTGCATGGCATTTTTTTTAGTCAGTCCATTTTAGTTTACATCCAAGTAACCGATAGTTGATTACATTAGAATTGAACTTCTTCCAATTAATCATTTGAAGATTACATTAGAATAGTATTTATTCAAAGCAATCGATTGTTGATTACATAAGAATTTTATTTCAAACGATTACATTAGAAACAATTCTGGATATAATAAGAAACGCGACTTTTAATATGAAATTCAAAGCAATGTTTCCCCGTCGTAAATTTGAACAAAGAAGACAAAAACAATAGATTTCACAATTTAATGCCTGGTATATTTCGCTGCATCTCGTCAGGTGCATACTACAGTAATAATTACATAAATGAAGCAAATCAGTGAATCCTTTATAACTGAACTACAATTGTAACAACGATATGGTCTTTGAATATGGTCGAAATTGTCACTTGTCTCTCTTTTTTTTTTTTTCTGCAGCAACAATTTTTTTTCTTCTTTCATTTCTAGTCTCTTCAGAATATCAGTAACATACATAAACACTTTCTATTCTTTTGTATATCCACACCAGAAATGTTTTTGTTTTTTTTTTCGTAATCCTCTGTAATAAAATCAATCAAGCCTTGTAAAAGAATATCAAAATTATGGCTAGCTAGTGAAAAGTGCAAACAGAGCAAACGGTATTCCATATTTATTTATACCAGAAACCAATCTACAACACAGACTGAAATGAAACTGCAAATAAATCACATAAACTGTTTTCATGGATTCTGGTTCGAAGCTAAAAATACAGATTTTCATTTGAGATTTGAACAAACAGCACATCAACATCACCGCACACGTTCGAAATAAAGTCTTGAGTCCGAAGAAGCACAGTGCACAGGCTGTGTAGCACCTGCGAGGATCCTGAAATACTTTAGGTAGATTTTAACACCAAATTTATTTCCGGGCATCGCAGTTAGTCTACTCTTTTCGATTTCCAACTGAAAAGGTATTTTTGTAAGTGCACAACAATTCACACGGACGTCCGATTCAGGGGAAATTACTAGAAGTCCAAGTCCACGAGAAAAAATCCCAGCCCTTACCGGGGATTGAACCCAGAACCTCTAGCACTCAAGGCGGACATCATGCCTGGAGACCACGCAGCCCCAGATTTACGTTAGCATTAATTAATCTGGCTACTTTTGGCTCACAAAATTTGTGTTTGTAAAATGATACTCTCCGCTGAATGACACCTGGTGCAAACTTTTACCTGTGTATTAACGCCCCTATGTCCCTAAATATTTTTACCGTAATTACAACTCAAATAAATATCCCACATGAACTGTATTGATCAGAGTTCCGAGGAACTTCTCAAAATCTAATTAACAAAAGTATTTGTTGTGAGTGCGACAGAAAAGAAAATTAAAGTGTCAGCAGGACTGTCAACGGGACAAAAGAACAATTTTATTTTCCAGAGTGCAAGAGCTGTGGGCAGTACAAGATTTAGAAATGAACAGTTCAACACATTTATAACAATGTACATCTTGTTGAGTTTAGATGATC